CCGCGCGCGATACAAGGCTCTCGGGCGCCGTCGGGTGCTCTGCTCTCTTCCACGCGGCGATTTTAATCAACGTTACTCCCGCGCCTCCGCCGCCGTCTCAAAGAAAATCAGCGAGTCAATTACGAAGAAGAACGAAACGAGCGGCGAAAGGGAAAGAGCGCGAGGCGGAGGTCTTTGGTCTACGTCATCTAATCTCCGAAATGATTTTCCAAGGCGAAACCCATCCTAAGCTAAAGCCAAATCAAACGCTGTCGCCGGCGAGAGAGAGACGAAAGAGGGGGGGGGGGGGTAGAAGCTCTCGCAGTGCGAAGCAATTTCGGCATGGAATGCGTTTCCCTCGATAGCTGCCCGGCCGGGACAGGCCCAAGCAATTTCAAGTTCCATTATGTGCGCGCACCCCCCTCGCGCTCTCTCTCTCTCTCTCTCTCTCTCTCGCCCGCGAGTAGTGAGAGATGCGAGTAACCTCCCCGCTCACCCCCTTTTGCAAACGCTTTTGCCTTCAAGAGCGTACACGCGGATTTTATAACCCCCACCCCCCTCTCTCGCTCTCTCTCGTGAGCGAGCCAGGCACCAAGTTTTGGATTTGGAAGCTGTTGCTGCTGCTGGTTTAACTGTTTTGATTTTTCATGGAATTTTAATCTGCAGACTCGTTCTCCTTTTTTTCGTTCTTTTGTTCTTCGATTTTAAGCAGTCATTTGGCTTTGACTTTGTACCTGCTGCGCTGCTCTAGTGTACAATTGAATTTCTTTGAACGATGCTGCATCAATATATTCGCAGTTGAAATAATAATCGTTTTTATAAAAAAACACACTCGCTTATCAGATTTTTCCAGCTGAGCGAATCTCACCTGGTCGCAAGTGAATAGGGGGTGCGGACAATGTGACACGAACATTATACTAATATAACACAATTGATTTCCCATAATGCTTTTGATTGCCAGCCATAAATCCCATATCGAAATCCGACGACGAGAAGAAAGAACAAAAAAAAAACAAAAGAAAAAAAAAAGGAAGGAAAGAAAGAACGAGCGAAGTCGACACCTCGGGGCAGCAGATTGCAAACGCGAGAATTCATTACCCGCGCCGTCGAAAAATAGAGTACACACACGTGTACGCACACACGGACGGCCTAAAGCGATAAGGTTCGGCGAGCCGATATATCGAGGAGGGAGCTGTAACGCGCGTGGCCCCGCGACGAATTTAAAAACGCAATTTACGGACAATGCCCGGCCTTATAAACCCTTGCTCTCTCTCTCTCTCTGTCGAAAGGAGGGGAAAAAAGTTTTTCAATTAATTTTCGAATAGAAAGAGAGGGAGAGAAGGAAAAAATGGCCGATCGCCGAGGACGGAAAAAAGACTGCTCAGGTCTTAGCCTCGGCCGTTCTAACGAGCTACGTACAGCGCGCAGCCCCTTACACTCGAGGCCGTAAAATGTTGTTTTTTAATTTAGGTGGCGCGGACTTAATATACGGCTTTAATTTCGGGTTTTCATTTAGCGCCGGCGGCGAGAGCCTCGCTTGGTTGTTCTCTCGGCGGCGCGCGCCGCGAGAAGCAGCAGCTACACGCCGAAGCCAAGGTCGGATGTTGATATGCCGAGGTGGTATACAATGCGTTTAGAGTGTTTGCGCGCCGCGTCGTCGAGATCGATCGAGCTTCCCGCAAATGATTTCGCGTCGCGATCGCGTGGTCTCCGAAAGGCGTACGAGCGAGTCGTCGTCGTATCGGAGCAATCGGCTTTGAAAAGTTTCCCGTCCAAAATTTCCATTAGCGCGATCAGCTAAAACCAAAAGCTCTCTCCGAGCGAGCGAGAGAGAAAAAATCCAAAAGCAATCGCGATTCAATTAAAAGCAGCCTCCCCTTCGCCGCGCGCGCTCTTTCTCTCTCGTCGGCGCCAAAACAATCAACGCACCTCAAACAGAGCGAGCGAGAGTGAGATTGAGCAATCGTCCGGGGCGTCTAACTAACGAAAAAGCGAGCGAGCGAGAGAGAGAGAGAGAGAGATGGAGGGTAGGAAACGAAGGAGGCGAGCCACTTCCGGCCGCGAAGATTGACTTCCGAGCCAAAGCTTGACGGGCGACCCTATCACAGCCGAGCGAGAGAAGCAATCGAACGCCCCGACCGACTCAACCGCCCCTACTCTCCCGGCTTTTTGGCAGCTACTTCCAACTACGCTTATACGCTTCGATCTCCATGTCGAGCCGCTGCTGCCGCTACCTCTTCTATGTACTTCCGAACGCGGGCGCTTATATTGCAGGCATTGGATCATTTCGGCTGTGTATGCCCCTGCCTATCGCTCAAAATGAGAACCGCCTGCCCTGCCATTCCGATAATCCTCACATTCGATTTTCGCTCGACTTTTTTTTTTCTCCTTCTTTCTCGGCGAAAAGTAAGGCTTTACCATTGTTCGATCGTGCTTTATGAGCCGCATCGCGAGCTTTTGTCCCACGAGTGGTTACCGCTGACATGGAAAGCGCTCTTGCTTTCTTCTCATAATTAGCCAAAGGGTGCAATAATGAATCGACTCGCGCAATAATGACTGGGATAATACAGAACGCCGTGACGTATCGCGGCACAACGTACGCAAATACATAGTGCGCGTGGCTACTTTAGCGAGCCTCCTCGGGATCGGCTCATAAATAGCCCGTATCGGGCATTTTCCTTCGCGCGCAGTGAGCGCTCCCCCCCCCCCCCCCCCCCAACTCGTTGTCACGGTCCGTTCATTAAAATTTTTCGCCGCGGCGAAAAATCGGGCGTGACTCGCCCGCGTGTATACAGCCAGGCGAGGAAAGTATCCGTAACGTGCCATTAATTCTAACTTTTTTAATAAAAAGCACACAGCCGCAATTAAAGGTCGGCTCGAAAAAGGAAAAGAAAGTAAAAAAACCAAACAGAAAAACAGAAAAGAAAAATTCAAAAGTGTACTAATTGGGTTGCCGCGCGAAACGGTTAATTGGCAAAAATCGATCGATCGAGGGGCAATTAGGCAATACGCTTTTCGATAATATACGCACACAAAAGTCCCTCGCTGCGTGTACACGTAAGAAAAACTAATTGGTGAGAGAGAGAGAAGGCAATTAGCAGGTGTCAACCTTGGGGACCCATCGCTCATTAACCATTTCTGCCGACGACGACGCGACGCAGCGAAATCGATCTTTCATATTGCAAAGAGAGAGAAAAAAAAAAACGCAGCGGCAGCACCTTAGGCGAGCCAATTACAACGGTCATCGCTCGCGCCGGCAATTAAGGCGCTCCCAATTATTGCCGAGCACTCGCACATGCACCTACCTACGCACGCACAGCGTATGCATGTACGTGCGCGCTCCGGATAATTGTCTCGAGCGCTGCCGCTCCGCTCGTGGGTGTTTACGCATTGCGTTTGCCTCTCCCCGTGAGTGTACGCGCGCGCGCCCGCGTGTATATCTCCGCGCTTAAATATTTGCGTGCGCATATGCACGCTCGCGGGTTGATCGAAGAAGCGCGCGAATTTGGATAGCCCCGGCTCGCGAGACTGCCCAACCGATACCCGATCATGGTCGTTGACGACGGTTCGGTTCTCGGGCGCGAGATTAATTTGCCGTGAGAATCGCCGGCGCGCACTCCTGGAATTGACGTCTACGGGGATCGCGCAATTGCCAATCCTTATGAAACATTAATACTTTCTACGTAGTCTACTCGCCGACGCGCTGCGACAATTTGCATTGCCAAGTACTTAAGCGGAATCATTAAGTGGATAACAACGAAAAGCAGCAGTGCGCTGCGCACGGCAGTTCTCCCTCTCCGCCCACCGAATCCCCCATACCCCCCCCCCCCCAACCCGCCGCCGCTCGCACGCGCGTTAATTATACGCACGCGTTTGCAGCATTTCAATTCGTTAGTATACTCGCGCGCCGGTAATTACGAGTTCTCATGATTCTCGCGTTATGACGAGCAAACGAGGAAAGAAATATTAATCTGCGCGCATTAGCGCGCCGTAAAAAAAACAAGAGAAGAGGCATCGCCGTCGTCGTCGTCTCGCGTGGGCCGAGAGAGGTAAGTGGCCTCTGTTATAGCTTGGAAGTTAACTCGCGCGCTGCACGGATGCGATTTATCACCGTCGCCTCCCCCCCCCCCTTCTCCTACTGGCGATGGATTTTTTCTTCCGAATTTCTGCGTCTAACGCGCCGAATTTTCGTTTCGTCGCGGCAACGTAGGATGAATCTTCGCCGCGCGCCACTGACGCAAATGGAAAATCGCTCGGCGCTCGTTATTGACTTGTGCTCCGATTTGGAACGTCGAAAGAGCGCGAGATAAGCAGCTGCAATCCAAGTGCGCGCGAAAATCTCAATCGACGCGACTGACGAGCTGACGAAAGCAAAAAAACACGGGCAATTTTCGATGAGATAATAGGGGGTTTAGGAGCAGTGTCACGCGTCAAGCGCGACTTTTTATTTTATCGCGCTGAATACAATGGACTCAACGCGAGAGCAGCTTTTATCTGCTCGCTATTATTTACAGGCGAGCGCAATTAAGAGATTGTGCATTTCTGTTTGTTTTCGGAGTGCATCGCCGGCCGAATTACGTCGATATTCGTGCGTCTTTGGCGAGCTTAATCGGCGCGTTTTTTTTTCAGCAGCGACGTCACACTTACAATGCTGATTAAGAAGCCGGGAGAGAGAGAACAAAAAAAAACGGCACCGCTGTGTCGGTGTGCGCGCGCGCGTGCGGCGCGCAATCGCGATCGTGCATAGTTGATCGCGCACGCGACTCCTCATTTCCGGATAAAAGAGTCTCGCTCTCGAACAATAAATACATAATCGGCTTGCAGCGCGCACGTAGCGGCGGGGACGCTTGATTAAATTCCAGGATTTTTTCGTTTCCGACGGCAGGGGAAGAGGGCAAGTGGTGGAGAACACCGAATTCCAATCGATCCGCGCTGAATAATTAACCCGCGGCAATTTGCAACCGCTCGTAGTCGGCGGCGAGTCAATGTCGCGGAAAATTGAATCGTAAAGCGCAACTCACCGGTATCAACGCGGCTGCTGTGCTTCTCTGCCACTTCTTCTATCTTTTTTCCCGCCAAAAGAGGAGGTAGGAGAGGAGAGAGAGAGAGAGAGAGAGAGAGAGAGAGAGAGAGCGGCGAGAAAAACTTGCGGCGCTCGATTCGAAAAAACAATCGGCCACTTGTTCTTTACGCTTCACAATTGCACGACGGTTTGACAGCCGCAGGAACGAAAGTCGTTCGAAACGCACTTTTTTCCAAGTCACAGCACTCGCGAATTACACTGCACTGCAACAGCACATTGGTAAGACAGAGAGAGAGAGAAAGAGAACGAGAGAATGAGAGAGAGAGAGAGAGAATGAAAGAGTACAAGAAGAAGCTGAAGTTGCGGACGCGCCGACAGTCCGACACGGAGTGAGCCGGCGGCGGCGCGAGACCTGACGTCAGTCGGGCGCCTGCGCACATCGCGCCGCGCGAGGACGTCGAGCTGGCCGAGAGAGGGAAAGCGCGCGAGGAGAGTGCCACCGTATAGCCGACTGATTTTTCGCACCGGTGCGGCGTTGGCTGTCTCGCCGAGCTTGCATGCAAATATAATCAGACCTAATGCCCCCCCCCCCCCGCCCTCGTCGGCCGCAGACCTAATTGCGCGACAGGCGCGCACGCGGAATCGAGCGCGCTACTGCGCCGCATAGCTTTGACATTGAACGAGGACTCGATCGCAAGAAGAGGACTACCTTCGGCCGCCTGTCTTTCTCGCTCCGCGGGGCCGCGTCAGTTTTTGTCGGTCGCTCGCGGAATCCGGTCCCCCATCCGTAATTATTGATCGGGCGCGCGCTTTCGCGAGAAACCCTGAGCTCCGCGCGCCGAATGAAGACGCCAATTAAACACTTATATGGCCGTGCTTTAGCAGCGGAATGACTTTGAGCGAACGCGATATACCTTGATATAATTGCCTCGTTAATGTGACCCTGTTTGGCGAATTCGATTATACCAACTTGTGAAACACGAAACTCGGCTGCATTCTTCTTTTGTGGCTTCCTCGTTTTTGTTTCAATCATTAATCCGATCGTTTTCAAACTTCCCCCTGAAGCTACTTTTTCCAACGTCAATGCTTACTTTCGTATCAACGCTAACATAATAAGTTTGCTAATAAGTTGCCTTGTTCAATTCTCTAATGGCTTCCACATTGGGAAATAAAGTCGAGTGTATAACTCGATCGCGCACTCTTTTTCCAAGAAATACTTGAAAAATCATCGAAATTAATTGCTAACGGTTCTCCTTTCCCCGATGATTAAAAGAAAAAACCACACGGGCTCGGGTGGCCGTCTGTATATATATATGTATATATATTTTTTCCTCTTCCTTTCTAATTAAAAGCTGCCTTTAGCTCCACATCGCTTGCGCGTGTCCCTTAATTTGCTAAAAAGTATTTGCTCGCGCGGACGAGCGACGAAATCTGCGGGTTTCCTCTAATTTATATGGAAAAACCGCAAATCGGTCGGTTGCCGCCGTCGCGACGCGGCAACCTTTGCTAATTAAGTCTTAGTTTGCTCCACTTAATCAACGCGGATCCACTATCTGCTAATTAATTAACGGACACAAGAAATTTCACGTGCGCCTCCCCCCCCCCCCCCCCCCCCTCACCCAACCGCCGCCAAAAAGTAATTTTGCCTCGATATTTTCTCAGAGCTAATTGAATGCTTAACTCGTTTGCTCTCTCTCTCAGCTTCAGAGCTTTTTTCTCATTTTGCGTTCGTAATTACTAACAAGCTGCGAGTTTATATTCTGTAAAAGAAAAAGTAGAAGTGAGCTTTCGCGTATGAAAAATTTCTCATAAACTCGCACTTTTGGTTTTTTGTGGCGTGCAGTGGTGTCTCGAAAATGCTTACCTATTCAGCGTGTTTTTTTTTTTATTGAAAACAACTGACACTCAGGTTTCATTGCGATTGAGTGCTTTTTTTTTTAAATTAGTTTTTTTCATGACAACAGCAAATAATACTATTGATTCTTTTCTTTCTTATTTATCTCACGGACCTTGGTTGAAAACTTTTCCAAGTATAAAGCCGCTAATTACTTCTGCTTATAAAAGTAATAGAATTCATCGATCGTAAAACGGGGAAACCACCACTAAGGAAAAAAAAAATCAGAAAACGCAACAAGAAACGCCAATAAAAATCGCGAAATCCGTAATCTCGAAGCACTTTGCTATCCGGAACAATTGGCAAAGTGAAAAAAGTATTTCAATTTGCGCGATTGCCTCGCCTCTCTCTCTCTCTCTCTCTCTCTCTCTTTCTCGCTGAGCTCTTGCGGATGAAAGTGGCTTTCTTGTTCGTATACGTGTCGCACGAGCTCCACTCGAAGCAATCCAAATCTCGCGCTCGCTTCCCCGTCTCCTTCCTCCCAAGTATTTTATATGAGCAAAGCGAACGAGCGCTTGCGGAGGAAAAAAAACTCCCTCCCTCCCTCCCTCCCTCTCTCCCTTTCGCCACAAGTAGTCAGTTTTAGCTAATTGTGCGGTTCACTGCCTCCGCTGCCTGCGCGATTGTTTTAAAAGTTGCTCGCTGCGGGTAAATCGCTTTTTGCGGCCGCGAGAGTTGCATTGCGCCAACGCCAAGCGCACAACTGTCCAGGTTCACTGCAACCGTGCAATTTAGCTCTGGATGTTTTTTTTTTCTATTTTTTTCACCAATTATTATTCAAATTCCTTTGTATTCTTCCGTCGTCGATGGTTCCTACGGATGAAATATGTAGCAAGCTAGGAAAATCAGCGCGCGGTTAATAAAATAAAGGCACTCAGTTCTGGTCGAGCTAATAGTTCGATCCGTTCGAATGGCGCATCGAGCACTCGAATCACGTCTGCGAACGAGCTGAAACAAAACAGAAATGACGATCGTCACTTTCAATCGAGCGTGCAATCAAATCTCCCTGCTTCGTACTCCGTGCACTTTTGCAAAAAACAAGGAAAAAAGAAAAAGGGAAAAGATGGCGCGCAAGGTATATAACAGTTAGACTCCGACGTCAGCGACTTAACGAGCGTTTGCATTAAGCGTAATGACGATCGAAGTTTCTTCTCCCCCATCGTGAGAGATACGATTGGAAAAACGCCTTATTCCCATCGACTTTGCCCCGCGACAAAAAAAAAAAAAAAAACAAAGAAAAAAAAAAAGAAACGCGCAGAATGCGCAACGAGAAGCGAGAGATGATGCTCTTTCTAGGGATAACCGACGAGTGCTCGCTTCTTTTTATGTCACTCGACGACTCGTACCGACGAGTACACCGAGCGCCATTAAGCTCGAGCATCGCGAGAGGTTTGCCGACGTGATCGAGGCGCTGCTTATACGCGTCGGCAGCTGAACCGATTGTCGAAAGACGCCGCGCGCGAGGAGGCGAGAGAGCGAACGATCTCCGCGCTCGACCTCGTCACGCCAGTCCTGCGCCGGCAAAACTGGTCGCGCGCCGGAGCTTTGGCGCGCATACGGGGAGCGGCGACGACGACGAGCGATGCGCTTTATAGTATATACGCCGAGCGGCTTTTCAGCGGAAGCTGTTTATTAAAGTCGCGCGGCACGCGAGCGCTTATGCCGGAGCCGTGGTGTCATTACTGCTTATCGATCCGAGCGACCTTCTTTTTCGCGCGCTCTCCTCGTTAATCGATCGCGCGCGGCCGCGCCACGGAAATTAAGCCTCGTAAAATAACAATTAACATTCTCCCGCGGCGCTCGGCAAACTTTTATCGATCGCGCTGGCAAGTGGAACTTGATTAACGCTCATATATTACATATATTGCTTCTTGATCGCGCGGCAAATGCCGGGCGCATCAAATTCGCGCCGCTATAAACTCTGGCACGGAGGGGGCGGCAACTTTGGCGGGCGCGTAAATTAATCTCGATCTGGTTGTTGCAATGATAACGACGCTGAACCTTATCGCGCAGATGCGCGTAACCGTCATTAGGAAAGGAAGAAGCGGGAGAGGAGGAAGCAGTCGAGGCTCAATTAAGTCTACATACCACCCACTCGCGCCTCGATACGCCGCATGTCAAATTCTCCTCGGCTTCTCCTCGCGATTAACATACTAATAGTCTGGGCTCGCTCGCCCGCCGCCATGAGCTTTTCAAAGGCACACGTGCGTGCACGCCGGCACAGCCGACGTCGCCTTCGGATCGAAGACACGAGGCGCGAGCCGCTGGGAAATAATTAAAGGCCGAGCGCTCGCGTAGGCGCGTCCTGCCTCCTTAGTCTCCGAGTCGGAGTTGTTCTTCGCGCCTCGCTGGGGGCGGCAGTGGGGATCCGTTCGCGCGTCTCGTCTGGCGCGGCGCGAAATTAACGAGCTTGCAGCGCGCGGACAATCGACGGGATTAGCTAGCCGCGAAGACCAACGGGTAAACAATAGGAATCAAGTTGAAATGAGGCCCGTCGGCGCTTGTTTAACGCTCAACGGCCGAGCGCCGAGCAGCGTTAAGCTTTCGGCAAGATGTTACAAGCTCGCACGCACAAGACAGCTGCGCAGCGCGGCGGTAAGCGCAAAGGGTGGTCTAAGGAGCTGCCAGCTTGAGTTTTACTCGCGCGCGCGCTTTCTCTCTCTCTCTCTCTCTCTCTCTTACTCACCGGGTGTGTTTATACACACGTTAAGATGCTTAATCGCCTCCCGTAATTAAACTGTCCTTCAAAGGGCTTAATTGTTCCATAAAGCCCAGCTCAACCATGAATACGCTAACGAGCTCGCAAGCGTAGCAACGTCTGCAGAGCCGTGAGAGAGAAAGAGAGAGAGAGAGAGGAAAACAAGTTTTTCGTTAACAACTTCGTCTTACTTCTTTTTACTTCTTCTTCTTTTCTAAAGATTCATACCGAGTTGTTAGGTGAGATTACATCTTTGCCGCGGTTGAGGCCGACGGGCTTTGAAGGTAAAGTTAACGATGTTGATTAATTATTGCCGGACTGTAATAATTACGACTGTAATAATAATGTTTTGGAATCGATCGTTACGCACGAGCGCGCGCCGCGGCTGCGTTTCCAACCGACGACAGAAACGTCGCGCGGCGAAGGGCGAACGAACTAACGCAGCGACGTCGGAAACGTCCGTGTGCGCGTCAACGCGACGTCGAGCGAGCTGCGGGCGTTACATCTCGCGTAATGAGAAAAGCTAAACGTCGTCAATAGCCGAGAATTGTGCGCGAACGATTTGCGCAAAGCCTGTTTACTTAGCCGAGAAGTCCTCTATTTCAATGTCGCAACGTGAACGGCAGAATCACTAAATAGTCATCGTCGTCGTCGTCGTCGTCGTCGTGGAATCCTTTTAGTCTGCGCGCATTACGGCGTCGTCGCCGGAGGCTCTCTGGCTCGCTCTCGCTTGCGCGCCATTGTCGTTTGGTTATAATTAAGAAAATAGACTTTAA